GGGAGAAGTAAAGGGGACTGAAATGTGACATGTGTATATGCCTATTCCCCCATAATGAATGTATTTACTATTTATTGCAAACATATACCAATACAAAATTTGAGGGCAAAAAAAGAGAAAAGCTTTGATGGGATGTGGAGAAAAACAAACCCCAGGTACTGCTGATGGGAATGTAAACTGATATATCCATATGGAAAACAGTATCCATATCCAAATATTTATATGGGAAGTTCTTTTAAAAAATCAATGATTCAGAAATCCTGTTTCTAAGTATATAACCTAGAGGAAATAAAATCAGTGTATCAAGATCCTGCATTCCCATGTTTATTTCATCATTATTTACCCATAGCTAAGATATAAAAGCAACCAAAATGCAGTTAAAGAAACGTGGTAAATGTGTAACACAATTATATATGCATAGAATATTGTTCAGTCTTTAAAAATTAAATACTATCATTTTCAACAATAAAGATGATACTGGAGGACATTATGCTAACTAAAATAAGACAAATTATATTAAGCTATTTACTCAGTAACATTCAACACTGTCCTGGCACTATTCTGGGAATAATGTATACTCCTTACCCCAAAGACACACTGTTTCTGGAAAATGTAGTTTTGTTCAGAGAAAACAGGAAGTAATTATTAGCAGTGATTGCTATCAGTGTGCTGGTATCTACTATGTTCTGCTTCATAAGAAATATTTTGTAGTTACAGATATCAATTCCCAGCTAAAAAGTATTTTTCTTAAATTTCTTTTCAACTAGATGTGTTCATGTGTCAAAGTATTGGCTAATATGTCAGCATGGTAGTATATATCACCTCAGGATCCGTTCTATATGACAAAGATGTGTTCTCCTCTGGTTTCTTCCCTAGTTGTTATCTGGTACATGAATGCAGTTGCTAAAATACCATCTCAGATGAATGGAGACAAGGACAATTACAGATGGCAAACAGTGGGCTAGAAGTGACTGAATTTTTCACCTGCAAAGCACTTTCATACTAGCCCAGAACTGCCTATCCATAGGTTTCTATTTGTAGTAAACCAATAAATTTCTATCTTAAGTCATTATTGTTTGGAGTTTTCTGTCACATGTGTCTGAACTTATTTCTAACTTATGCAAGTGGTACAGATAATCAATATCCTAGGGCAGAAAAATAAGATGTCAAAGTAAGTTTAAGAGAAACACAGATTTGGGTTCTTGAAAGAAAAAGATAGATAGATAGATAGATAGATAGATAGATAGATAGATAGATAGAGATAGATTTTTAAAAGGTAATCCAGTGAGAGAAAATGTGAGCAAAGTCAAAGCAGGGAAAACATAATTTGTTAAGGTATAAGACAATTTTCTTGCCAGGTGTGGTGGTGCACATCTGTAATCCTAGCACTCGGGAAGCTGAGGCAGAAGGATCACTGCAGCAAGTTTAAGGTCAACCTGGGGTGTGCATAAATGAGTTTAAGGCCAGCCTGAACATCCTGTTTCAAAAACAAATACAATAAATAAAATTATCTTAAATTTTTTAAAAAAGCACATTGTCCAACAGTAGGAGTACTGGACACGTTAAATAGGAATATGTTATAGAAGAGTTTAATGCTCAGTAAGTATGCCAATCAGCTTTCTGTTGCTGTAATGAAACACCTTTAAAAATCTACTTAAAAGAGGAAAGATCTATTTTTGGCTTATGTTTTCAGAAATTCCAGTCCATGGTCTGCTGGCTCCATCATTTCTAGGCCCAGTATGAGACAGGAACATAGTAACAGAGAAAAGCTCTCATGAAAGCCAAAAAGCAGAGAAGACAGCTCAGCAGAAAGAGTTAGGGATAAAACATAGTCCTAACAACACACCTCCAACTATGTCCCACTTCTTCAGTTTCCATTACCTCTCAATAATGCCTACAAATCATGAATTTATCAATTGATTAATCCATTGATGAATTTAGAGCCCTTGTGACCCAATCACCTTTGACAGGTCCACCAGCTGGCAACCAAGTCTTTAGCAAATGGCCTGTTTTTTAGTGAAACTGAAAATTAAACCCATGCCCTTTGAACTGAGATCAGTTATCCCCATTCCTTCTGTATTTTTTATATTGAGATCTCACTGAATTGCTAAATTGTCCGGGCAGGGCTAGAACTCACTATCCTCCCATCTCAGCATCCCAGAATCCTGGAATTACAAGTGTATACCACCTGCAGGGACACTTTAGATCCAAACATAACACTGGGGAAAAGATTTTACCTAAAGTCCAAGAAATAAAACATATAATTTCTAGGAAGCGATTACAATTCATTTGGCCTTACCCCAAACAACACTCCCCTCCCCTGCTACAGGGTTAAGGGGGAAAAGCGCAGCTGTCAAGAATAATGTATGGAAGAATAAAGGTTACCCAAGGAAAAAGGAAGGGCTCCTAAGCAATAAAAATAAAATAAAACAAAACCAAACAAAAAGAAAAGAAAAGCAAGGTCATAAACAGACTGAGGATCATAAACACCTTATCGACACTCTTTCATTCTCTTTAACCCTTGGAAAGGGTAGGAGGAAGCAGAAGGGCTTAAAGAGAGGAAGTGTGAAAAAAGGCTATTATCTGTCTCTAGTCAAGTTTGCATTAACTACGAAAAATGATGACTTTAGTTGTTTATTTGTGATCTACTTCCATTCACCAGGGTTGCAGAGTAAAAATAAATTTAAAGTTTAAGTCCTAATTAGTATCAAACAGTACATTACCCTGCACATCCTCTATGCTGTTATACATCACTAGAAATAGTGAGGATGGCATACTGATGACTTAGGACAGTGACAGTGAACCTTTTAAAGCTTTCAACAATACAAACAGCCCACTGTGGCACATAGTCATAGGTTTCCCACCACTGATTTAGGATCAGGCCATTTATTTCCATCTGTGCCTGAGCTCACAAATAACAACACATACTCCCAGTAACAGCCAAAAACACACAAACTGCTCTGATTCCTTTATACCTTATACTTTTATTCCTTTATACTTTTATGAAATACTATTTTTGCTCCTAACTTGGTATTTCAATTTAGATGAACCATTCTCAAAATTCAACATCTAGTTTTGATAAAGTGCAGAGTTCAGAAAGGCAGAGAGATAGTATCTATTTCTATGCTTATTCATGCATACAGCGTAAGACATAGCTCACAGTAGGCACATATTAAGTATCTGAATCCATAAAACCACCAAAATCTAAAACAGAGAGAGATTTTATAGATCAACACACTGCCTGATATCACTTTATATTCATGATTACTGATTTCATCTGCTTTCTAGCTCTCCTAGGAGACCACGTCACATACCTTCTCTTTCCTCAAGCCTCCAACATATTCTTCTTGCCTTCCGCATCACTGATTAAACTAAAACCAAGCTGCAACAAGACCACCTACAACTGTAACACCGGTAACACTTCTCCTGTGGATGAAGCGCCTCGGCAAGAACAAACCCCTGAGCACTCATTTGCACCTCCCCTCACCTGAATCTCCACTCACCCGTTCAAGGGCAATCTCATGCAACAGTCCTCTCTTTTTGCACAATCAATTGTGCTCTCTCCACTGGATCATTCACCTCAGCATACAAACATTGTTTTCTCCATTTCCAGAAAACCAGTCTCCTGGTCCCAAGCCGTCTCTATTTACCACTTCTCTTCATATTAAATTTCGTGAAAGAGTTGTCAGTTTCCAGCATCTAACCTCTATTCCTCCCAAAGACACTGTTCACCATCTGAATAAAATGGCCCATATTTTATTTGTTTGTTGTTTCTTCCTACATATATTCTAAGGTAAATTCTGTAAAGACAGGGCTTTTGTTTGGTTGATCTTTGTTTGTTTGTTTGTTTGTTTGTATTTGTTGCAGTATCTCTGTCACCTAAAAAGAGCCTGGAATACACCAGGGCACCAACAAACATTTGTTGATGAAAGTGATAATTGAATGAAGAAGCAAATTCTCATTTAAGTAAGAAATATATGTTTTAAAGATGTACACTAGAATGAAATCCAGTGTCTTATTTGAGTTGAGACAGTTACCAATCTTTTATATTTTCTTAAAATTTTGAGCTACTGTAACCATGTAAACAAGGCCCTACAATAGAAGCAGTTTAATGTCATATGCTCAAAAAAGTTTAAAGAAAAGTGAATTATTATGAGATTTACAATGAAGAAAGAATAACTTAAGAAGCAGAAAGAATATCCTTGGATTCTTATGTGACGCAATTAACTTATAATTGAAAAAAGAAACAGCTCATCTTAACACAAATTACTCAAAGAAAAGGAAGATCCTAAATCATATTAACAAATTTTAAAATTCATTATTGTATGAATCACTTTCTTATCACTGGGACAAAATATCTGATACCTGCAACTTAAAAAAGAACAGGTTTAATCTTGGCTCACGATTTCAGTAGATTCAGTCCAGGATCAGCTGGCTCCAAAGCTGAGGTAGATGGCATGGAAGAAGAAAGCTGTTCACCATATGGTAACACGGAAGGAGGGAGCGGGAGGGAAAGTGAGAGGGAGAGAAGAACTAGGGACAAGAATATACCTTTCTATCCCTCCAACCAGGTCCCACCTTCAGACCTGAGATTTTGAGAGGACATTTTAGATCTAAACCATAACAAGTATGTTATTTTTCATCAGTTCATTATTTCACCAAGATTTATCTTCTAGTCATCAACAAATAAACTGAAATTCCCATAAAACATTCAAGTTGTTCAAAGGTAATACCAATTATAACATGCATTATGAGACACACTGTGACTCTGAAACCAAAAGAATGACTAATAGACTTTAGTTATGGTAATATAATGCAGAACCTCTTATATGTAATAGCAATATGAAGACATAATCAAAGAAAAATAAAGTCACTAATATTTTACATTTACAATTGTTTCTTGTATACACTCCAGCTTTATCTTTAATAAATGCCTAACTTTTTAAACTTAAATTTAAAATCGTTATTAATTTACAATTCCACAGTCAACAGCATTTTACCTGTTCATAGGCCCCAATCTTAAGTGCTGTTTCTGGTGCAATTTTAAAAACATTTATGCCATTTCCTTGCCAAAGAGAAAGAATTCCTCCTTCTTTTATCATCTGCTCAAACACACTACTCAGTCTCATTTTGCTTGTCTTTAAACTGTGAACCTAGAAATGAAATAGGAAGCTTATTTTTAAATTTATTTTGTTGATAATATGACATCAGTATTGCTATTCTTAACGAAATAATTATATGTATAAATTTATAATTCTCAAGCCTGATTTAACTTTCCTTTAGAAACATAAAAGGTTGATATATTAATTTTTTCTTGTCCTCAAATGCATATTTTAATTACAGTACACCCAAGTATCTATGATTTTCCATTCTATGCTTTCCATGGTCCATATGTATGAAATGGAAAGTTACAGAAATCAATTGCATGCTTTTCTGACAGTATGATAGTCTCACAACTTCCAGTTCCACTTTCTCCTCCAGTTATGAACTACCCCTCTTGTGCACTGTATACATTATATATACACCACCTACTCATTAATCATTTAGTAGCCATTTCAGTTATCAAATATTCTATTGTAATATCACAACATTTATGTTCAAATAATTCTTAGTTTATAATGACCTCGAAATGTAACAATAGTGATGTTAGCAATTTGATTATGTCAGAGACCCATAAAGAGCTTCTTTTAAGTGAAAATGTGAAGGTTGCAAAACATTATTTGCAGTATATTGTTATAATCATCCAAATTTTCTGGTAAGAAACAAGTAGGCAGACTTTTTGGAGATGGGGAAGGAGATTCAGTGAGAGAGGAGGTAAAGAGGGTAAATGGATCAAAAATGATGAAGATATGTTATATACAAAATCAGTTAACACAAAATGGACATCACATGTATCGCAATATAGTATTAGTATATAGTATTAAAGAGAAAAAGGAATGAAAGAAAATATATCAAATTTCTAACAGTGGATAATTTTGCATATTGTCTCAGTTAATCTTTATTGTAAACTTGATGGATTAAGAGACCTCTGGGATGTGAATGGCAACATCACACTCCCCAGTGGATTAACTCACTTCAAAGTTAATATTTGAATGCACTATTCATAAGTGGGGTCCAGTTACAGGTAGATCACTGGGGGTGTGATTTTTGGAGAATACATTCCTTGCTGTCACTCTTCCCCTGTGTTCTGCTTCCCACCCATCTAAAGTGTCTGTGAATCAGGCAGCCACGCACTGAACCCTCTGAAATCATGAGAAAAATCTAAATTGAAAATGTCAAGCATTTTTTCTCAGCAATAGGAAAGTTGACCAATGTATGTGTCACAGTATGATGAGGTTGAATTGTGTTCCTCAAAATTCATTTGCTGAATCCTATTCCTCAGAACATGACCTATTTGGACATAAGGTCTTTACAGATGCAATCAAGTTTTACTAAGGTCACTACAGACCCTAATCTAATCTAACTGACATCTTTATAAAAAAAAATTGGACATACAGACATAGCATACAAAGAAGGAAGATAATGAGAAGAGATATAAAGGATGGCCAACCACAAGACAAGGAGAGAGACCTGGAGAAACTTTCCCTTGTAGCCCTCAGAAGGAACCAAACCTGCTAACATGTTGATCCCAACAACTATGAGCAGTACATTTCTGTCGGTTAACATAGTTTGTGGTACTTTGTTACAGAATCATTAACCAAGGAATTGATGTAGATTACATACCATATTAACGTCTGCTTTATGCTTTTTGTGCTTTTCCACCTCATAAATGCATTATTTTATGATAGGAAATGTTATGTTTAAAAAGTTAGAATTAAAACATTAGTAAAGTACCATCCTGTCCATAATATAAAAGTAATGGGAAGAAAAAGGCAAAATAGGCATTCTCTGCAAGAACAAATCTAGAAAGCATTTTAGCTGCATATCTGTGTATCTGCACATCCCCACACAATAGTCTTTAAAATAATTATATCATTAAAATTCTAGGAATTTTTTCTAAATTAATACTCCTAAATATGAAAGGTTATTAATGATAGCTTTGTTTATCATCTAATTATAAATAATAGTTTTAAGAAGGATCTTTAAACATATTTAATGTCTAAAATTTTCAAAATGTTAAAAAAAATATATGCATATGAAACATTACATAGTAATCAAAAATTATATTTAAAGAACATTAAATAACTTGAAAACAATTTTCACTTGAAAACATTTTTGTTATACCATTAATCACAAAAATAATGTGAATTATTTTAAAACTAATCACTATTTTAAAGAACATTTAAAAAGAATAAAAAGTAATGCACTAAAATTTTAATAATGTCTAGTTTCAGTGGGGAAAAGAGAGAGAAATTTTCTTTCTATCTTTACTTTCCAGATTTTTCTTAGTAGGTTCATTTATTTTAAAAATAAAATTTTGAAACTCAACTAAAGAAACTTTAGTGTTTTTTTGATAAAACACCAACAGTGCTCTTCACCCATCTTATTTCTCTACAAAAAAATTATAGCCTCCAGTTTTTTAATTCCACCAGCTAAATATTTCATAAAATTTTATTCCTCTTTTTTCTTATTTGTGTTATTGCTGTTTGTTTGTTTGTTTGTTTGTTTTGCAATGAAGGAGATCCAATCCGGAATTTCATAATGGAGAAGAGGCCAAACACTGCCACTGAGATACACCCCAAGCCAAATCTATACCCCCGGTAAACACAACTCTGGCAATGATGATTCTCGCCTTATAGACTCAGTTGGCAGTGGCAAGTAGCTTCCAAACAACATAAACCTGACAGTTGGAATTTAAATCCAGGATTCTCTAAATGTAAATCTCTGCTATTACATATTAAACTATCTCTAACCACACAATGCATATGCCTACCTTTCTTTAATTCACAGTATTCCTTTTCAGTAGTGTGCAGTTCATGCAGTAATACATCCATAAGTAAAGAGGACATATTCCAACAAACTCATTTTACTCAATGAAAGCCAAGAGAGCCAATCCAGAAGGGCATGAAAAGGTGAGTTCATTCCCCGACTCTTTTTCCCTCCTCCTTTCCTCCTTTGCTTCCTTTCCCACTCATAATTCTTTTTCTCTCTTTTTTATCTATCATCTCTTATTTTCCCCCTTTCTTCTCTATTTTCCTTTTCTTTTTTTAAATATCCCATCCTCTTCCTACTCTTCTCTATTCAGATCTCTTATTTCTTTCTGTTTTTTCATTATTTCTGTACTTGTCTATTTTCCCCATACTTTTTACTCTCCCTAGTCCAACGATCCATTTTCATCTCTTCAAAAAATTTATATTCTTGTGTTGTAGCTCTACAATGCCCATACATAATTTTCCATTTTGCATAGAACAATAACTGAGGTAGCAATTATTATTTTCAAAAAGACTATCATCATCATGTTACCATGAGCTATTTATATCTCAAAAAGGTTTTAGAGCATAATAAATATATTTTACAGGTAGAAATCACACCAGATACTGTCAAAATCCAAAAGATCATAATTTCTATGAAAAATCATATTCCAAGAAATTGGAAAATCTTGAAGAAATCGAAATATTCATAGACTCATACAAATTACCAAAACAAGCCAAGAAGACATAAAAATTATGAAAAATTCAATAAAAGCAATGAAACTGAGGCAGTAATTTTTAAAAATGCATGAACAGCCCATGGACTGATGGATTCACTAGTGAATTCTAGAAAACCATTAAGGACATTAAATCACTGTAAGACTCAAACCCTTCAACAAAAATGAAAGGAAAGGATTGCTTCCAAACTCATTTCTGGAAACCAGCATCACTCTAATCCCAAAATTAGACAAAGACCTAACCAAAAAAATAAAACTACAGGTCAGACTCCTTAATGAACATGCATGCAAAACTCCTCAATTAGATATTGGTGAATAGAATGCAACATATCATCAAAAGGATCATACATCATTACTAAGTAATTTCCATACCAGGTTGTGAGGATGGTTACATACGAAAATCAATAAATGTAATATACCACATAAATAGAAACAAGGACAAAAATCACAAGCTTGCTGCCAGGGATAAGATCAGCAGCACAGCACCTGCCTGGCAAGCATATGGCTGTGAGTTTAATTCCCAGCACCAAAAAAGAAAAAAAATCACAAGCTTACATCATTAGATGCAGAAAAAGCTGTTGACAAAACCCAGGACTCCTTCATGATAAAAAACTCTGAAGGAAATAGGTAGAGAAGGACCTTACCTCAACCTGATAAAAGGCATTTAAGACAAACCAACAGCCAAAATCATATTAAATGGAAAAAAACTGAAAGCTTTCCTCCAAAGTCGGTAACAAGACAAGGATGTCCATGTCTATCATCACTTCTATTCAGCATCATAGAACTTGAAACATTTCCCAGAGCAATCAGGCAAGAAAAAAAAAGAAAATGGTTATATATAGAAAGAGAAGAAGTTAAATTATCATTACTTGTAATGACATGAAAATCTACACAGAAGACCCAGAGAATTTGATTTTTTTAAAAAAATCTGTTAGAATGTTAATCAATTTCAGCAATGTAGCAGGATATAAAATCAACACACAAAAATCACATGTAAATCACCCATAGCAGTCATACATACATAAACTCATTGAGAAAAAGATTAGGAAAACAGCATAATTCACACTAACATCAAGAAAAATTAAATACCTAGGAATTAACCTAACCAAAAACTAAAAGATCTCTGCAAGGAAAACTACAATACTGTGGAAAAGGAGATCAAAGAGGGCATCAGAAAATGTAAAGAGGTTCTCTGCTTTCATAGGCAGAACCAATATTGTTTTAATGGCCATATTCCCAAAACTGATATACAGATTCAGTGCAATCCCAATCAAAATACCAACAGCATTCCTCACAGAACTAGAGAAAACAATCCTAAAATTCATATGAAACCAGGAGAGAGTTAGAATAGCAAAAAAACAAAGCAGGATGCATCACAATACCTAACTTAAAGTTATACTACCAAGTAACAGTGATAAAAATGGCCTGGTATTGACACAAAAATAGAACACACATGGAACAACAGAATCAAATAGAGGATACAGAACTTCCCCAGACACATCCAGTATTTTGATCTTCGACAGAAGGGTCAAAAACATGTGTTGGAGGAAAAACAGCCTATTCAACAAATGGTGATGGGAAAATTTGTCTATCTGTATGCAGAAGATTAAAGCTGGACTTACATCTTTCACTATGCACTACAGTCGAAACAGATCAAAGATTTAAACATTAAAGCAGAAACAATGAACCTATTTGAAGGTAAAACACTTGAATTCATAGTGTAGACAAGCACTTTCTGAACAGAACTCTAGTTGCACAAGAAATAACAACAATTAACAAGTGGGATTATGTCAAATTTAAAAACTTCTGTATAGTAAACGAAATAATCAGTAAAGAGATAACCTAAAGAATGGGAAAAATTTTGCCAGCTATTTCTCAGGCTTAAGACTAACACCTAGAATACACAAAGAACTCAAAAAATTAAGCCATCCAAAATAAAACACCCAACCAAAAATGGGCAAGTGAAATGCATAGACACTCCTCAAAAGAAGTACAAATGGCCAACAAGCATATTAAAAAATTCAACATCTCTATCCATTAGAGAAATGCAAATTAAAACAACACTAACATTTGTATCAGAAAAAATGGCAGTCATGAAGAAATTGAGTAATAACAAATGCTGTTATGGCCATGGCAAACAAGGAAACCTTCTACATCAATGGTTAAACAAACAAAAAAGAGCCCTCCGACATTATTGGTGGGAATATAAACTACTACAACCATAATGGAAATCAGTATGGAGATTTTTCTAAGAACTAAAATTGGAAATTCCATTTGATCCAATTATTCCCTAAGTATCTTCCAAAAAGAGTTAAAGACATCATGTTGCAATGATTAATACACGCATGCTAATTGTTTATAGTACCACAATTCATAATAGTTAAATCCTGGAAACACTCAGTATGTCCAACAATAGATCAATACATTTTTAAAATGTGGTACCTATACATGATGGAATATTACTTGGCTATAAAAAAGACACATTTAAGATATTTATAGGAAAAGGAATATACCTGGAAAATATAATGTTAAGTGAAGTAAACCAGGCATACAAGCTTATGTGTGATATCTCCATACAAGTAAGCCAAAATACAAATAAAGGTAAACTTAAAGGACTGATACACAGAAACAGGGAGATACATTTGCCAATGAGATGGAGTCCAGGAAGTAGAGGGTCAGAGGAGTGAGAAAATGGAAAAGTAAATAAGATTTAAGGTATGTCAAGTACATGTACCAAACAGCCACACTGAATGTACACATTATATGTCGTAAATATGAACTAAAAATAATGATAATAATAATGAAAATGGGAAAAGAGGATTTAGAGACAGAGAAAGGTGAGTGGGGAGGAGAACAGGAAAATATTCAAGATATGCCAGTGACATGCACCTACCACCTAAGACAAATGTAAACTCTATATGCTACAAACATGTACTAATAAAATTTTAAAATGAGAAATACTGTTGGGAGCCGCGGCCGAGCCCAGTCGCCTTACTTGGCGGACGTGAGGCCTGTAGGAAAGAGCAAAGCCTGAGCTAGATTACCCCTCCCATCGAGTGTGCTAAGATGGCGCTTATCTCCTGCTTCCTGCTTGGTAAACAACCCGCCCTGTAAGATCTCCTGCTTCCTGCTTGGTAAACAACCCGCCCTGTAAGATCTCCTGCTTCACAACCCGCCCTGTAAGATAGTCTGCCTAGCAACAACTGATGTTAGCCAATCAGCCCGCATCGCGCGCTTTGAACTGATTGGCCACTGTAACCCTATAAAAGTGAGTGCCTCTCCCGCCACGAAAGAAGAAGCAGAAGAAGCAGAAGAAGCAGAAGAAGCACAGAAGGAGCCGCGGAGAGCGGACCGGTAGAGGCTTCGGGACAGACTGTAGGGAGAAGCACGCAAGGAGCCGCGGGGAGCGGACCAACAGAGGCTTCGGCCGGGAGGATTCCCGGGGCAGGCTGTACGGAGAAGGAAAATAAAAGAAAAGGTTGTCCACTGCCAGACTTTGTTGTGTGTCCTTCCTGCCGGCCGGGAGTGACACCGACAAAATACGACTTTCATCTTTGCATTTCTAGCACTTAACATATGACAGACACACAACAAAAACATCTCTCTTTTATGTCTTGGTCCATTCACATCTTTCTCATCTCCTGATAAATCTCTGTTTCTGTGTTGCATGGTACTATATGTCTCTTTCCTTTACACCTCATTTTAAAATTTTCTGACAGGTACAGTTGCTAAAGACACAAAGCTTTCTATTTTGATATTTAGAAGAGGATTTTCAACTATTTCTCTAACAACTGACTGAATGTAATCACCCAATTGGTGAAAGACAGGTTACATATGGAATAAAATCCAGTGAGTGATTGGTCATTCATCTCATTATCAGAAGCCACTGAAAGTGTATATCCTATTTATAAATAAACGGACACAACTTGAGACCATACTCACAAGCAAAATAAATCAAACTCACAAGTATAAATACCATATAGCCTCCCTAGTGTAAGAAATGGTAAGAATATATAAAAGTATATGGTAATCATGATTTCCCATTACATTGCTTTGAAGCCTTATAATGTTTTCATTCATTAGTTGGAATGGTTTTATTCTGTTTGGTTTGATTTTATTATGTGTGATGGTATAAACAGCTATTTTGAAGAAAACAAGACATTATGATAACCATTGCTGATTTAATATCATCTTGCTTTGAAGTCCTACCATGCTTTTGTTCTTCTATTTCCATTGGTTCTATCATATTGCACCTTATTGGATTTCATTACGTGTGATAGTATAACAAATTTTTATGGAAAAGGAGATAATATAGTAGCCATTGTTTGTTTTCTGTTATTTGGTTCTGAATGCCCTGTAACAATTTCATTCTCTTGAATGGTTTTATACTATTTTGTTATGTTTGATACTACTGTACCTGAAGGTATACTCCACTATTTCAAAGAACGGGACAATATGGTAGCTATTGTTAATATCCGGTTGTCTTGTGGTGAAATATTGTGTTCTGTTCTGTTACATTGTTCTGTTCTGATCTGCTTTGTTCTGTCCTCTTTTGTCTTAATCTCCTTAAAACAAAAAAAAATTTAAAAAAAGAAGTACACATCCTACATCTAACCCACTGAATTAAAGGTCTTTATTTCCATTGCATTAATCAGGACAGCATTTTATAATTAAATGAAGAATAATAGCCAGAGAAAAAATATTTACTATCCTCCCATAGTACCATTTACTGATGCTCCCATAGTACCATCTGGATACATAAAGCACTACTATCATATTTTATTATTACTCACCTAATTATCCATTTTTCCTGATAAGTTAATAAAGTCTCTAACAGTAAAAACTATGTCTAATGTAAGTTGTAGTCCCAAATGACAAAGAACCTAGCAGATAAGTCCCAAATAAATATATGTAAAGTAAATAAGTGAAGACTTTTTCCAACGAAAGGAACTCTTCTAACAGCCTTTATTTTCCAAAAATGATATATTTATATAAATTTCATTTCTAAGATGACATTTTTTTGGTCTGTCTTCCTGAAACACACTTTCACTATGCAGTTCAGGCTGGCCTTGAACTCACTTTATAGCTCAGGTTGGCCCTGAACTCATGGCAATCCTCCTGTCTCGGCCGCCCTAGTGCTGGAACTACAGGTGCGTGCCACCACACCCAGTGGCAAAATTTTTGAATGATGTAGAAGTGCAAATAAATTTCTTAGTTACTGGGCCTGGGGATATAGCTCAGTGACACAGCCTGCCTAACAAGGACAAAGTCGTGAGTTACATTCCTGGTACCAAACAAAAAAATTATATAGCTATTAATTATGTAATATAGCTTTCCCACAATTCACATTGCATAATAAGTATGCATAATCCATTATCAAAATCCATCAGTATTACCAGAGCCAATAAAATATCCAGATATATTAATTTAATTACAAATTTAATTCAGTTTATTATTGATTATTCCCCTGAAAAGCATTCAGAAAATACTAAATTTTAATTATGATTCTTAACAGATTAAGCCACACATTATTTAATAACTATTGTTGCGAACACATAACTCACTGAAATAGAGATAAATAACTTATAATAATATATTATAATTCTTAGAATATTTTGAGTTACTAGAGATTGAATCCAGGGCATTCACAGTGAGATATATCCCCAACCTGTATCTTGCTAACTTGCTCAATTTCCCAGTCTGGGCTCAAACTTAAAATCCGCCTGCCTCAGCCTTTCAGAATACTGGCAAGAAATATTGTTAATATTTTAAAAGTAGAGTAGAACCAAACTATTACATTAGTGTAAGATGTTAGAAATAATCAACAAATAGTCTGTCTTACCACTTTGTTCATGAATTTAGTCATAAAAAATATGAATAAACTATAAGTGATTCTACAAAAAAAAGTGGTTCTACTATTATTTCAAGTAAAAATTGATTTGAGTACCATGGGAGCATTTTTAAGAAAATTAAGAAATACTTGCCAGGTGTGGTGGCACATGCCTGTAAGCCCAGCACTCAGGAGGCGGATGCAGCAGGATCACTGAGAGTTCAAGACCAACCTGGGCTACAAAGGGAGCTCAAGACCAGCCTGAACGCACAGCAAGATCCTGTCTTAAAAAGATGAAAAAAGAAAGAAAGAAAGAAAGAAAGAAAGAAAGAAAGAAAGAAAGAGAGAGAGATTTTAGTATAAAGATAAGATTTTCCAAAAGTAAATTTTAATGAGAGTTAATATGAAATTTACCAAAACATTTAAACTATGTCTTTTGGAGGACTCTTCACATCACTATAACTCTTACAGTCAGGTAAAGCAAGCGGATTACCTGCATTATAATTTTCAAGCGGTCCAAAGGTGCAGTGCATGTCCGTGTGACTCCACTAGATATTCCTGCTGCCACCAAACGCTTCCACCAATCTCCAGATTGCTTTTCTCTTTCAGTAAATTCATCTGGAATAGCTATACTCTCTCCGATATCAATTATCTGATAAATGCAAAAATAAGTAAGACAATAAAAAGTGTAAATACTTCATAAAGTAAAACAATAACTTTGTAGACCAAAAATAACTTCACATGAACCAAATACTCCAAAGGTTTTTTTTCATATCACCAATTACTGAAGATTAACAATTTGCTTGTCACTGCACTAGGCCAAATGATTCTGAATAGCACAATCACATCAGACTTAATGCAAATTCATTTTCATTAAATCAGAGTTATTAACTTAAAGTTCTTAAACCATTTGGATAACCTCTTCCATAAAAAAAGGTGACCCCTGAGAGCAGGGATCATGTCCGACCACTCTTCACAGTGTCTGGCACACACTAACTGATGAATAAATTTTTCATGGTTTATTTCAAATTCTCTCAGATTTCATCATACACTTAAACTTAAGTCATAAAATTCCTTATTATTTATATTGACTTTTTCCTTTAAATACCAGTTTCCTTTTCAGGATTTTGCATTGTAATCAGTTTTGCATTCACTTTATTTCTTTTATCTTATATGATTTTGCTAAGATTACTTTTTTCTAAGAGTTAAAGCTATATGTTTTGTCTTGTTTTTTGTCGGTACCAGGGATTGAACTCACGACCACACTCTTTTTTTTTTTTTTTTTTTTTTTTTGTCTTTTTCTTTTTATCGGTACCAGGAATCGAACTCACGACTGCCTGCTTCCAAGGCAGGCACTTATGCCGCTGAGCTAAATCCCCAGCCCCAAAGCTATATGTTTCAATAAAGACTTCCAAGTTCTCACTTGGACTTCCTTTATTTGCTGATCATAGTAGACAAAGTCATCTTTCTTAGTTTTCCCCCTTTCATTTATTCATTCAATTATTCATTCAACAATGACATAAATAATTCTTCTTGTGAGTACATTCCCAATACAGAAACTTTGAACTTGATTTTCTCTTTACCTAGAATAATTCTCCTTGACTGTTTCTACTATTTCCTAATATATTGTGTGGTCTTAATTGACTAGTTTAATTTTATTACTTGATTTTTACAAAGTAACCTCAACAAAGGATACAACCTGGTCTTCTTTGTACACTGTTGTCAACCTAGTGCTACCGTCCATGAAGAAAAGGAGGGGGGAAAGGGAGCACAATAAATATTGCAGAATAAATAAGTTAATATACCAGGCCCTGAGCTATGAATTAGTGATCTAATAGTACAGAAGTTACTTTCTGCCCTCTAGAAATTTCCAGAGAGATAGGAAAAGAGGCAAACAGTGTAACACAGAATAATAATAACTTTATACAATAAGAAGGGCAGCAACTAACAGTAGGAAGACAAAAGAAATACAACTAAGGGAATGTGGGTTTTATTTTTGGTGGGGAAGAGATAGTTACTTGCTCTAGTTAAAGTAACATAGGAACAGAAAAGTCTCAATCTGAACCCAGGCATCTTAATGTCAAGGACTACCTTCTCATCTATCACATTACAGTATCTCCTTATACAGAGAGGGATTAACCAGGCCATGCTCCTGACAAAATAAGTGGTGCGCTCAAATATACTATATACTCTAAAAACTACAAGATTGTATGTAAACATAAAAGGAAGGCAAAGAAACGTGTAAGGTCTAAGAATAACGTCACGGTTCCTGGTTTAGGCAAGTAGGAAAGATAGTGGCACCAGTCAGAAAAAGGAAAAGGTTTGATAGGATTACATCCAGAAGATGAGAAGTATGAAACAAAAGAGGCCTTTATTCTGAGAACATGGAGGGAGAGAACCGACACCCCCAGAGCGCTGGAGTCCGGCTTTCTCTCTGGCGGACACGTGGCGTGGGGGTATGTAAGTAGCCACCATTTGGGGCAGAACCTAAAGGGGCATCAGGGATGCACAGGTAGCACATTGGTCCTAGGTTTGGCGCCATAGGTAAGTTCCCGGGGGCGGGAAGATGGCGTCACAGGTAAATTCCTAGGGCGGGGAAGGTAGGAGCTCTTTGGTTCCGCCTTTAAGGCTTCACCGGCTACAGTGTCCTGTCTGGGCCAAAACCCTTTCAAGGTTTAGGGGCAATAATGATGAGTGGTTTCTATACGCTATTTGTGGTGCCTTAAGTGATACCCAGTAAATACTAGCATGTGAAAAAAGAACATATGGTCTAGCAATGTAAAATTTGAAGCCATCAGTTAGCTTATTTTTAATAATTCAACCTGGGAAAGTATGGGGACTTGTATTTTAAAGGTGTGTAGAGTGAGAGCAAAAACAAAACAAGACAAAACAGCTGTAAAGAGAACACAGAAGAAAACTAATACATGAGCCAGACCAAGGAAGAGGATCCTCAGAGGAAACAGAAAAGTAATGGAAAGAAGCAAAATGCAGTGTCAAGAAAGGCACATGAGCCAGGCATTGTGATGCATGCCTGTAATCCAGCACTCTAGGAAGCTGAAGCAACAGGATTGCAAATTTGAGCCCAGTTTGAGTAATTTACCAATTTAGAAAGATCATACTCAAAAAGGTTTTTTAAAAAAAAATTTTTAAGGTGAAAGATACAATGTAGCTCAATACAAAGGTCCTGGGTTCAATACCCAGCACTGACGGGGTGTGGAGTCAGATGGGGAGAATATTGAAAAGGAGAAACTGTCATGATCTGGAAAATAACAACAGGGAACTGGACTTGGTGAAAGAGTTCCATAGGACAAGTTGAGAAGTGAATGAAAGCATAGCTGTAATGAGACCAAAGGTTAATGTAGCTAAAAAAGACATGTCATTGGACTGTGCTTTTTTAATAGTACTAACAATGTGAATCATTATGTTTAAATACAAGAAATAAAGAGGATAATAGAAAGAACAAGGCTGAAGAGGGAAGAACTCTGAAGAAGCAAACAAACAACAGAATACATGGAACTGCAACCCAAGAAAAGCAGCAGTTTAAAGATAAAGTGATCAACCATAACCTAAATAACTCAGAGATAAACTAACTACTAGATGTGGGATTCAGACTTACACATTCTGTTTCCAGAGTTTGTGATCTTTTTCTTCCTATATATCATCTATGGGAAGGAGGCAAAAAACTTAAGAGGGTGGATGAGAATAGTATGTTATGAACAAATTATTAACTTTACTGAAAACATTATTTTTCACTTTTCTAGGCTACTCCCACTATATCATAGTAATTTATTCTTAACATAAAGTAGGCCTCCTCAGTAGGCATCTATTCTAAGATCTAGGTTTCAATTTAAAAATGTGGTATTGGGTTTTACACAAAACATTAATACCTCTTACTGATTTCACAAAACATTATTAGAAGGGAATAGTGTAACTTTAACCTCTAATGCTCCAACTAGTGTGGGGATTATATAATGATAATAAAAGCTATGACATTTAGAGAAAAGTAAAAACAGTGAAACACGAAGTATTCTTACAGTAGAACGCTTCCAGAAACGAATAATTTCCTTGATATTTGATGCAGGATGAAGTAAAAAGTAGTCTCTCCATTCATCCCAGTCTATTGTCAATGTCCCATCACTATCCATGCTGAAATAAATTTTTAAAATATTGCTTATAGTATTTATAACAAAGCATCATTATAAAAATGAAATATATGCTTCTTAATTATTTATTTTTAAAGCCATTGTCTTGTACTTCATGAATATCACTGTATTTTCACATTGGTTTTTATAAAAGTAAAACTATTTTAGAGCAGTTTTAGATTTTTAGAAAAGTTAAGAAGATATTACGTATAGTTCCCATACATCTGCACATCCAGTTTCAACTACTGATAACATCTTACATAATATGGTACTTTTTTTTTACAATTAATAAGCTGATTATTGATAGATTATTATGTACTTTATTCAGACTTTTTTAGTTTTTAAATAATGCTCTCCATGGGCTGGGGATTTAGCTCAATGGCATAAGCACCTGCCTTGCAAGCAGGCAGCGGTCATGAGTTCAATCCCCGGTACCGATAAAAAAAAATAATAATAATAATGCTCTCCATTTGTTTCAGAATCCCACTCAAGACACTACATTCCTTTTAACCATCATGTCTCCTTAGTCTCCTCTGATTATAACTGTGTCTCAGATTTTCCTTATTATTTTTATAATTTTAAGGAATATTAGTCCAATATTTCATAGACTTCTTCTTTATTGGGATTTTTCTATAATATTTTTAATTACTTTTGTGCGAGTATTTCTCTTAGATTTTTCTGTTAACCATAAAGAAAATGATTGTATCTAAATGATCTGTGTATTTTTAGCACTGAGAATCCAATAAATGCTTGATGAATGAATGATAAGTAAATAAAACCCATTAAAGAGTAACCTTATACCTTTTGGCTCTTCTAGTATTATTTTTACCATTGACCATCTTTTGGCTTTTTTATAACATTCTAATCAATTTTAAAATAGCTTTTTTTCACCTTGCAAAATTCAGTATTTACTCAATCTTTCAACATCTCAAAATGTTTTTTAAAATTTGTAGGTTGTTTCTTTGTATCTGAGTAAAAGGCGGAATTAAAAGGAATGACTTTTAATAATTTTGCTCTAAATGAAATATCTAAAAAACAAAATGCACTCAGGCATCAAAAAATTTAGTGCAATTTCACTTCCAACCAAGACAAAATAATCATCGTAAAATTTATACCCCCCCCCGTAAATAATTATTAAATTGAACATAACATAAGAAACAACTGTTTTCAGGACTAGTCCACAAACAGGACAAGACTATAATACCTGAGAAAAGCAAAACACATATAGTGAGTGCTTCCCATTCTCTCCACTTTCTGGGGACAGTTTCCAAATTGCAGAAGTAAGCGATTAAGCAGGGAGAATGTGAATAGAATAAAAAAAGGCCACTGAGGATGCAGGAATTTACAAAAGTATTCCCTTGACACTTTTGCAAAACGCTAAGCCACATATGACTCACTCAGCCTCACAAAATTAGTTAACGGAGGGCTAGGAGCATAATTAAAACTCCGCAGTGGAGGAATGTTGGAGTTCAAGAAAGGAAAGAAAAAACAGAAGAGAGAGACAGAGATAGAGACAGAGAGACAGACAAGGGGAGTGGAAGAAAGCAAGAGAGAGAAGGCAGAAAGGGAGAAAAAAGAAATATTACATATGGGAAGAAATTTAAATGGCAATAACTGAGTTCTCACCAGAAACAACATATGCTAGCAATCTTTAATAAGTTCAGTTTAGTCAAACAAAATTTAACAAACTGTACCCTAAATCCTCAATACAATAAACTTAACCACCAAAAATGAAGGTTAAATATATTTTCAGATAAACAAAATAATTACTATAAAACATGGACAATATTCACTTGTTCAATTTGTTTTCACTTAGGATAATGCATTGTTAGGACTTATCACTCCAGAAACTGAATTCTGAAATACAAATTTTGGCTGGTTCATGGCTTCACCCCTTGGCATCAAAAGCTATGACTGATACTCATAGAAGTTCCTAAATTTAAATTTTAATCAATTATTGCTACTGGAAATTCATAAGTGTTCTTAGAGTATGATTTAACAGCATATTTCAAATATTACACCAATCCACAAGTTCATACAACTACCAAGTTTCTATCAAACTTGTACTGATAAACTTTTTTAAAAAATATTTTTATTGTAAGAAACTTATTTCTTGTTCAACTCCATTAAGGATACAAAATATATATGATTCCAATTCTTTTTAATTTTTTTGCATTTCTTTTATGAACAAGAATAAGATTGGGCTCTTAATTATTTTTGTATGTGATTTAAAAGCTCAACAATTGGGGCTGGGGATTTAGCTCAGCGGCATAAGCACCTGCCTTGAAAGCAGGCAGTCATGAGTTCGATCCCTGGTACCGATAAAAACGAAAAAAAGCCAAGAAAAAAAAAGCTCAACAGTTTTGAATGTAATATCCTATGAGGGTTCCTAGATATTGATGGTGGTGTTGAAATTTTTATCCCTACTGATACCTTATGTATAGTTGTTCTATTACTTAGAAATCTAAGTTAGACGCTCTTGCTGTACTCGTTCATCTATACTTTCTGTAGTCTTACATTCTTGCTTTTTAAATTTGGGTTATATTTTTACTTTCATATTAATTTAGAATTGTTATATATTCTGAGCAAATTAAAGTTCTAATCACTATAAAATACCTCTTTTAAATTTTAGTAATGGATTTTGCTTTTTCTATCTTTTTTCTTTGAACACTGGATCTATTTTAAAAAACACAACTCTCTAACAGAATATAGTTAGTTTTTTCCAAGCACCAGTCAAAAAGAGGTTTATTCTTTCATGGACTTAAAATATCCTAACTTCCAGATATGAAATACAGATTAACTAAACATATACCAATGCTAAGAAATAAGATTCAAAAAATAAAAAGAAGTAAGAAACCATGAGGAATTATCAAACATAGCTGAAAACATACCAAACAGAATTTCCATGAATAAAAAAAACTTAAAAAATAAACTGTTAGAATGATTAAATGACACGAATATATTTGAAGAACTTGATAGAATGCCACACAGAGAAAAAGAGGAAAGCAGAACTATGATAAAAAGAAGTTTACATTTGAAGAGATAAAGATTAGTAAGAGTTTTCCAGAATTGTTAAAAGATACAAACACAGGAAATTTAACATCTCTCTAGCAGAGTTAATAAAAAGAAAGGCCTACTCACTAGATAAAAAGCTACAAAAAGAAAAAAAAGCTACAGACACCAAAGAGAAGCAAAATTTTAAGAGGAGACAGAGAAAGGCAAATCCCCTACCAAGGCTCAATAATCATACTAGCACCAATTTTCACCTAAGAGTAGAAGAGAGAGGATAATAAAATAGCATCTCATTCTAAGAAAAAGTAATTATCAAGCTGAAATCATGTATCTAGCAAAATTTTCTTTCCAGAACAAAAGTGAAATAAACATATTCCCAGACACTAAAAAACTAGACAGTTTACATCATTGGTGTCCCCTTGACCCACGTCCACCCCACCACTACCCCAAGCAACCAGATGGTTCCGAGGCTGAGTTGATAGCAATAAGGTAAATAAAGCAACTAAATGCTTGCACTGCTTGGTTGATTATGCAGGCCTGGGGCTAGCGTTCTGAGCATCTCTTGGGAAGATGACAGTATGCAATATAGCAAATATGAGGGATTTCCTTCTATCTTGTTTTTGAAGTCAAATATGTTTCACTTTTTTGCTTTGTTCTGATTAACTGTTTTGCTTTATTCAATATTCTGTTTTGATTGGTTTTATTGTGTTTTGTTTTTGGTTTCATTTTGCTATACCTGATGGAATGGACAATTATTGTGAAGATAACAAGGTAGACTATGGTAGCTATTGCTGTTTTCCTAGTATCCTGCTTTGAAGTTCCATACCAATTTTGCTGCTTTTTTTTTTTTTTGTCTTTTTCATTTTTTTATCTGTACCAGGGATCGAACTCACGACTGCCTGCTTGCAAGGCAGGCGCTTATGCCGCTGAGCTAAATCCCCAGCCTGCTGCATTATTTTAATTGGCTTTGTTCTGTCTTGTTTTGTTAGATTTTACTATCTTTAAAATTAAAAATTAAAACTAATAATTTATTTCTATTAAAAGAATTTCTAAAGCATATAGTTCAAAAAGAAAAATTATCTTGGCAGGACAGCCTCAGATCCAAAGACAAATAATGAGTAAATAAAATGCTACATACTAACACATCTAAAACATTTTCAGTATAAAATAACAATTATAATTGAGAACAAAAAAAGCATGTAAACCAGGAAAGAGATGATTAGAATTAAAAATGTTCTAAAGTTTATTATTTGAAGAGAGGTTAAAGATATTGTTTATCTTTAGTTTTTAAACTTTTATAGTAAAATGTCAAGACTATCTACTACCAGGAAACAAACTACATAATTTTTAAACTATGAAATGAATTAGAAAAAAAGGCACAAAAACTTTATTAAAAAGCAAGAGAGTAAGAAGAGAAGCATAGAACTATAGGCTAAAGGGAAGTAAAAATGTACTAACAGAAATTAATCCTGACCTATGGAAAATGGCGGCTTGCTAGAGGGCTGGATGCAGAGTCTCTGAGGAGAAGTCAGATTAGATGCTAGAATATGACAACATGGAGAGGGCCAGACCAATGGATAATGATTCTTATTAACCAAGGCAGTAACCGAAGGGAAAAATAAAACTAGGAAGAGGAAGGAAAAGCGCAAGTGGAGAGCTGAAGCCCAATGTACTCACTGAGCCCCATTCTGTGCTGTACTAGGTGCACCCAGAGGATCTAAGGTCACACTGAGACTGGGGCTACCGATAACGGAAGTCTGCGAATCCCACACCCTTAACGAGAGAACGCGGCAAAATAAGCAGTGCATCCAAGGGGGAAAGCTGTATTGGCTCTTTGCAACTGCTGGAAATTGAGACCTGGGACCCTGCGAAGCAGCCAAAGCCACCTGGCTGCGCCGAAGGAGACTGCAAGAAGCTCCAAAGCTCCAAAGCCGGACACCATGCAGTTTTCTGACCAATCCGCGCTGTGCTGGGAACGCAGTGAAGACAAGC